TTGTCAATTCTAGCCTCTTGATTTTGCATGCATTTGGTCAAGCCAGTGATTGCTTCCGTCAAGTTTGCCAACTGCTCCTCCATAGATAAAGTGTTTGTCACCATGGCTTGCATGAGTGTCGTGGATGACGGAGAGTAGCATGAATTTTCACACAGATTGATCTNAGCAACATCGCTTCCTCCTTCAGATACGTTTGTGGAAGATCTTGCTCCTTTTGAGGATGAAGATTCGAAAACAGGGATTGATGCGGACGACACTTGGGGTGCTTGTTGTCCTAAAGAGCTTGCTTTGCTCCTCGTAACTGGTCCGAAGCTTCCAAAGGTGACATCGAGGATGCTTTCCACATCAGCATAGAACCTGGAGTTAACAGCCTTGGTGGATGTTGATCTAGAGTTGATTTTCTTCGAAGCCATTTCAATGTTCTTGAACTTTGGTGATTGAAAAGTTGAGATGAGAGGTAGAGATTGTCCCACCGGGCGTGCCAGAATTTGTAGACAATAAATTTGGTTCGAGAAAATAAAATCAAGAGCGAAAAATATCGCAACAATCGTAGTATTTGATTTCGAATATTTGAGTGTACAATCTCTATGAATCCTCTGATTCTTCTTTTCAATAGTAAATAAATTCAAGGGCCTTTGAGCTTGATCTTGAATATGTATTTGTTGCCATGAACGATGATCTTGTTCTTGAGCTTTAGTTTGATCGCTTGAACTTGACCTTGATTTGTTCGCCGTTCTTGAACTTGAACTTGATTTGTTCTTCGTTCTTGAGCTTGAACTTGATTTTTTAAACTTGATTGCTTGAAGCTTGAAATTTGTAGAGAAATTTGCGGTGTTTGATCCGCGAGTTCTCTCTTGCTTCTTGTTATAACTTCTGGTCCCTTTTCTGAGTTATGAAGACCCCTATTTATAGTTGTGGAAAGGAAGAGTTGTGATAAGAACAAACTTTTTCCGACCAATCAAATTGAAGTGTGACATGACCACATTTGATTGGCGAGAACATGTCACTTGTACACGTGGCGCAATTTCATTGGCCTTTTAGTGTGTCTGGGCATGCCTTGTCATTTTGACACATGACACGATCCTATTGGCTCTTTCGTTTGACTTGGCGCGCCACGTCATTTGACATGTGGCACCAAACTGGGCATCTAGGAAGATAACATCTTGAGCTTAATTAAGTGGGCTCATCACTTTAGCTCAATTAAATGGGCTAGCCCAATGGATTAAGACTTATTTATTTAATCCATATATATTGAACTTATATAATTAATTCAATTATATTAGTCAATACATTTATTGAACTAATATATTTTGAATTTAAAATATAGTCCAAATTATTTAATGAATTTAATTTTAGTAAAATTTACGTGCCTGGAGATACGTTGGGAACTCACTTGGAATACTATAAAAGCTGTTAGTGTCAAATATTCCAAAGATGTTATTTTTTCATCCATGAAGCTCATAAAGCTTGGCAGTGCAGGCCAAAAAACCGACGATTGCTTTCATTTTTTGCTCTCAAGAGCATTATCTTCTGTTAAAAACCGAACTATTCTCCACAAAGTTCATTCTCTCATAGTAATATCGGGTCAGCACCAATCAACATTCTTCTGTGGAAAACTCATTTCAGAGTACTCCGAGTTCAAAGACCCTGTTTCTTCACTATCCATTTTCCGCATAAATTCACCTACCTATAATGTTTACTTATGGAATACTATCATTAGAGCCATGACCCATAATGGGTTATTCTCTAAAGCATTAGACTTTTATACCCAAATGAGAAAATTAAATGTTAAGCCGGATAATTATACTTTTCCTTCGATTATTAGTTCGTGTGGCAATTTATTGGATCTTAAAATGGCTGAAATTGTTCATGATGATGTTTTGGGAATGGGTTTTGGATCAGATTTGTATATATGTAATGCTTTGATTAATATGTACGCGCGGATGAAGAAATTAGGGAGTGCGCGTGAGGTGTTTGATAAAATGCCTCATAGAGATGTGGTTTCTTGGAATAGTTTGATTTCGGGGTATAGTGCGAATGGGTATTGGGAAGAGGCGGTGGAAGCTTTTCGGGAGGGAAGGTTATTGGGTGTTGTTGCTGATACTTTTACTGTGTCTAGTGTTTTACCTGCATGTGGGGGGTTGATGGAGGTTGAACAGGGTCAGATAGTTCATGGGTTGGTGGAGAAGAATGGAATTAAGGGAGATATGACTGTGAGTAATGGACTTCTTTCGATGTACTTTAAGTTTGAGAGGTTGTTGGACTGTCAGAGAATCTTTGATGAGATGATAGTTAGAGATACTGTCACTTGGAATATCATTATTTATGGGTTTTCTCGCTCCGGGTTGCATCAGGAGTCCATCAACTTGTTTCGAGAAATGGTTTGCGAGTATCAGCCGGATCTGCTTACAATTACTTCTGTTTTACAAGCTTGTGGACATTTGGGGGATTTGAGATTTGGAAGATATGTTCATGACTTTATTTTTAAACACAGATATGAATGTGATACTACTGCTAGCAATATCATTATTAACATGTATGCAAAATGTGGTGATTTAGCAGCTGCAAGGCAAGTATTTGACAACATGAAAAATTGGGATTTGGTCTCATGGAACTCAATGATTAGTGGTTATGTTGAAAATGGGTTTAATAAGGAAGCAGTAGATCTGTTTAAGATAATGAGGATAGACTTGCAACCGGATTCTGTCACCTTTGTGACACTTCTGTCAACCTGTACAAAGTTGATGGACATGAATTTCGCAAGAGAGCTCCACTCTGATATAATTAAGAGAGGATATGATTCCACTCTTATTGTGGGCAATGCTCTTCTAGATGTGTATGCCAAATGTGGTAAAATGGAGCATTCTTTGTGGCAATTTGAAATCATGAATACTAGAGATATTGTAACGTGGAATACTATTATTGCTGCATGTGGTCATAATGAGGAAAGTTACGTAGGTTTAAAGATGCTCAGTAGGATGAGAATGGAAGGTATCATGCCTGATGTTGCTACCATTTTAGGTTCGCTGCCTTTGTGTTCCTTGCTTGCTGCCAAAAGACAGGGGAAAGAGCTGCATGGCTCCATTATCAGGCTTAGTTTTGAGTCACATGTCCCTGTTGGAAATGCACTGATCGAAATGTACTCCAAAACTGGGAGTTTAAAGAATGCAATATCGGTCTTTGAGCACATGAGGATCAAAGACGTGGTGACGTGGACAACAATGATATCTGCATATGGAATGTATGGCGAAGGAATGAAAGCTCTCAGATCTTTTCAAGAGATGAAGGAGAAGGGTACTATTCCAGATCATATTGTTTTTGTTGCCGTTATATATGCATGTAGCCATTCTTGTTTAGTGCAAGAAGGTCGTTCTTTCTTTAACCAAATGAGAAAAGAATACAACATTGAGCCTAGGATTGAACATTATGCTTGCATGGTTGATCTTTTATCACGTTCTGGGCTACTAGCTGAAGCAGAGGACTTTATCCTTTCTATGCCGCTGCAGCCTGATGCAAGTATGTGGGGAGCTCTACTTAGTGCTTGTCGAGCTAGTGGAGATACCAAGACTGCTGAACGTGTTGTAGAACGTCTTGTTAAATTAAACTCTGACGATCCGGGGTATAATGTTTTAGCTTCCAACGTATATGCCAATTTGGGGAAGTGGGACCAAGTGAGAACAATACGAAAATCCTTGAAAGCTAGAGGACTCAAAAAAGGCCCAGGATGTAGTTGGATTGAAATTCGCAACAGAGTTTTTATTTTTGGCACTGGGGATAGGTCCTTTCAACAATACAAACAAGTCAATGAGCTCATACGGGACCTCAACAATGCAATGGATATGGAAGGTTATGTTGCTGACTTAAAATTTGTTTTGCATGATGTTGGTGAAGATGAGAAGATAAATTTTCTTTGTGGGCATAGTGAAAGACTTGCTATAGCATTTGGATTGTTGAACACAAAAGAAGGTTCACCTTTGCAAGTAATGAAGAATCTCCGGGTTTGTGGGGATTGCCACACTTGGACCAAGTATGTGTCAAAAATTGTGCAGAGGGAAATACTAGTTAGAGATGCAAATCGCTTTCACTTGTTTAAGGATGGGACATGTAGCTGCAGAGACTACTGGTGATTAAAGTCTGTCGTACTTCCTCATACTTAGCAGATAAAAAGATTACTACAATTGAAGAAATTAATGATTTATCATTTGGAAACAATCTGGTGGTGAAATATCTCTGATTGTTAGATTTGTGAGGTTTCAAGCTATATCTCCTGTACTATTACGTTTCTACCTTAAGTTGCAGGACTGGTGCACTATTTGACTTCAAAAAGAGATGCAAAAGTATTAAGGATCTTCGTATCTGGTAAAGTCTTCACTTTTTAAATATAAAATTGCTGTTATAGAGTTTGTGAGCCATCTCCAGCGTGCTTTTTTACTTCTGTGTATTCCTGTTAACTCATTATGAGGGTATTTCATTAGAAACTCCTTTATGCTGTGACAAAATTTCAGATAAAATGGTTGTACTTTTATCTTCATTCCTTATTTTGTTTTAATTTTGGCCATTGTCATTGAAGGGCCTGCTTCTTTCTAGTGGAATAGCGTGCCTACTTTCTCATTCGGAGGTCAAAAGATAGAGATACATACAAAGGTATACTACTATATTTCTTTTCTGGTAGGTTAAAAGTACATTAAATTTCTTGCTGTTATACACCTGGTATTGGACGTTTAATTCAATAGTCCAACCATTTAAATCTCATAAGTCAGTAGTTTTGTCCTCTTTATCATGAATGGGTTTATACATACATCAAGAAAAAGAATATACCTGGTAGATCCGTGAGCTTCTTTTCGATTGATCTTTTCATTCGTCCATAATATCTTTTTGTTGCTTCTATCAGTCGGATCATAATTCCAGAAAATAAAGTTTACATGACAAATTAAACACCATTATTGTTAATGACCTCACTAGGTTCTGGGACTATTATCCGAGCAATCAAAAGCTTGATCATAGCCCACCGGGGTTCGAGATATAAGTGGCAGAAGAAAAATGAAAGTTGTCTATAATTATAAGCTAGATATTTCATGGGAACTCGTGTTACTAATTCATTCATTGAATATCTTTCTTGCCCGTATGAAGAATGTGGAATAGCAGGAACCAGCAAAATACTCCTAAAGGGAATGAACACAGAACGTGAGCTACTTTGAGTTCAACTTTGTGCTAGGTGCATGGAGGAAACTTGTATGTAACAATCAAGGGTGTCCTAGGTGGATTTTTATGCTTACTTTAGCTGGTCATGGCAGATTGACTACCAGAGATAGGCTGGCTAGATGGGGTGTAACTGCTGATCAAGTATGCCCTCTTTGTTCTGTAGAGAATGAAAGTGTAGAGCATTTGTTCTTCAGGTGTGACTGAATGGTCTGCCAGAAAGTGGTTGAAGTTGTTACAGTGGCAAGGTATATGTAGAGCCAGTCATGGGCTGGGATAGGAGTGGCAAATGGGCGGGTCGGGTCAGATATGGTTCGGGTCGAAAACGGATAATGAAGAGCGGGGTAAATTATCCGACCCGGCCCATATTTAATACGGATAAAAAACGGGTTAATTGGCGGATAATATGGGTAACCATATTATTCATGACTTCTTGCATATGATCACTTTTGGGAGAATTCTTAGTCTCCCAAATTTGAGGAACCCCCAATTTGAGGCTTTACAAGTGTAAAAGTTAGACCCATTGGTTATCCATTGGTTACCCATTGGTTATCCATTTTCTAAATGGATAATATGGTTCTTATCCATATTTGACCCGTTTTTAAATAGTTCATTATCCAACCCATTTTTTAATGGATAATATGGGTGGTTAACTGTTTTCTTTGAACCATTTTGCCACCCCTAGGCTGGGAGGATGAAATGGCCTTGACAGCAAGTCTTATGCAGGGGAAAACTGCTGGTGCTGCAGTTTTGGAATTGTGCTTGCAGGTGCAATTTACTTTATATGGCGAGAAAGAAATATGAGAGTTTTTCAGGGTAAACAAAGAAATGCTGAAGTGGTTACAAAGCTGCTTGTACAAAAGACATTCTGCAGAGGAACTATGAAATGCAGTTTGACAAGAAGACTGGAGCAACTCAATTACTATCCATAGCATGTATTAGATAATTTTCTTTTGACTAGACTGTGTAGTAGGTTGAACTGGAGCTGGCTGAAATTGGGATGAAATTCCACTTTCAGCTCTTTTTTGTACTGTACATAATTGTTTACTTGGTAATTAAAATTTTTTATTCACCCCCAAAAGAAAAAAACTTTGTGCTAGCTACTTCCTCACTGTTTTTGCTAAGATATTCTACTGCTGCAAGCTGAGCACATAGCTATTTCTGTGGGTATTAGAAAAGAATATCTAGGATATCTTCACTTTAAAATGAATAATTTTTCAGTACTCTAACAGTAACAATTTGATCTTTTGAAATAAAATTACTGTACAATTTATTACTTAATGGACACTTGAAAATTTCATCTGCAGTGTTACTTCAGGTAGCAAGTAAAGATAGCCAAGTAAGAATTTCATAACTTTTATTCCTGATAGTTCAGAAAACATCCAAAACTTGATACAAGCAGTTCAGCCATCAGCTGATGGAGTTTGTTGTTATTTCCATGAACTATAATACAGCAGCAACTTTCACAAACTAGTTCATTTAGCAGCAAATGCTTTCTGGTAATTTTCATGAAGCAGCTGGAATTTGGTCACTAATTTGTCTCGAGGTGGCCAGTGTTCTTTGATTACTGGAGCATCATAAAAGTTATTCATCCATGCTGACAAGAGAGGTAATTTGGCTGCATCGAACAACTTCAGGTCGATTACCTCTTCAAATACATCAAGAAGATATGCCAACCAACCAAGTGAAAGGTCCAGGTATCCTATTTCCTCTCCACCAAAAAATTTCTTCTCTTTCAGTTGCTCTTCAAAGAGTTCTAGATTTTGTACTGCTGGACCAAGAGCTTCGTTTTTCTCGTTTCCTTGTCCTGTGAATACACTCCATATTGATGGCAGAAGCTGCAGACAAAAGAAACATATCAACAAAAATTCAATTCATTCTTGAAAAGTAAGCTTCTTGTTATAACTGGAAAATGTCTACTGTCTGAGTAATACTCACTATTATCTTGTCACTCTCTTCACATATTAATATAGACACAATAAGACAACAATAACAACTGCACATCAGTCTCAAACAAGTTGTGGTCGGTTATATGAAATCTTCACTTCTTTTAAGCTCAACTCATATCATCATCATACAAAAATAAAATAAAAGTGAAAGCATAAAATAAGTTTTTATATATGTGTATATATATATATATCTGTATGTATGTATGTATATCACCTATATGAATCTTTTTCGTTCATTGAGCCCTATCTTTAGCTAAGTCTATATTGATTTTAATGATTTGTAGGTCTTTCAAAACAACTCATTTTAGGTTTACCATGTCTTCTTTTAACACCTTCACTCACCATAGTTTCATACTGACGGACTGGTGCATCCGTAGATGATGCAGTGGCAGAAATTCTTATTTATTTTGTGCTGAAATTAACAGATCAATGGTTTCTTACCTTCTCCTCCCCAAATTTTGCCCAAAAACGCACTGTGGCTTTCTCGTAAGGGTCCTGAGGTAACAAAGGAGCTTCCTTCCAAGTCTCGTCAATATACTCGAGAATTACCAGTGATTCACAGATTGGTTTGCCTTTGTGTACAAGCACAGGAATTTTTTTGTGAACGGGATTATGCTGCAGGAGTTCAGGGCTCTTCTGACTTAAATCTTCATAAATAGTGTCATATTGGATCCCTTTGATGTGTAGTGCCCAAACAGCCCTCAAACCAAATGGGCTCGACCATGTTCTGTGAAGCTTGAGTTCTTCTGCCATGTTGCTTTGCAAGTGATATCTGAAAGTTAAGTCTATTTATACACTCAGGTTGTTCTTTTATTTGACAAAAATGATGTATAATGGAGTATATGTCTAGATATTCATGTGCTTGGAATTTTCTTCCTTAGCATAATTCTGAACCAAACTTTGATCTCAGCCATTGCGTTGCAAAGCGTGGAATTTTCTCAATTGCTACTAGTCAAATATGGACTAATCTTCTTTGTTTGGAATCTTTGGAAAGGATCACGAATTTCTTACATTAAGCTAAAGAATGATTTGGACTTGCCTTATCACAACTTTGTTACCAGAGATGACAACTCCAATGATTTGTTTCACTTGGTCTTTTGTGTTGACTTGTTCTTTGTCTTGTCCTGAGAGGGACATTCGCGTTCGTCTGGTAGTACATGGTGATAGAAGCTTTGTACCTCAAAAATCTCAAGAATTTTAATAAGTATTCAAGTCGATTCCACATTTTCATTAGTTTCAACACTTTAGCACCCCTAATTATATTTTCTACTAGTGTTCTCAGAATTTTTCTAGTACCCAAAGAGCGGAAGGTAACATCATTTGATTCATATTTTCTTATTTCTTTCCGTTATCAAAAGCGTTACGAACTGAAATAGATGGAATTATCAATGGTTAAAAATATGAAAATAGCACGGGCTAGCCAGTTTTCGGACTAGTAATTAAAAAATAGCCAGCGTTTGCAAAGTCATTGGAAAATAGTCATTGTTTTGATGAAACATGGAAAGTTCCAGCATAATATGCAGGATTATGGAGCTCTTGTGCATAAACTTCCAGCATATTATGTTTGAACTCCAGCGCATTATGAAATTCCGACATATTATGCTGGAAACTCATTCGAACTCCAATATATTATGCTGGAATATTTCCTGATTTTTAAGGGTGTTTTTGTTCAGATTTTATCTTTACATGAAAAAGTGGCTAAATTTCGATTACTTTTGAAACTGTGACTATTTTTCAATTACTAGTTGTATATCTGGCTATTTTTTATTTTTTCTGTTAAAAATGTGAAATGTTTATTTTTGGTAAAAATAGCACGGGCTAGCCAGTTTTCGGACTGGTTATTCAAAAATAGCCACGTTTGCAAAGTCATTAAAAAATAGCCACTATTTTGCTGCAATACGGAAAGTTCCAGCATAATATATTGGAGATCGATGCATTTGTGTATGAACTTCTAACATATTATGCTGGAACTCCAACACGCGGAAAGTTTCAGTATATTATGCTAGACCGGTATATAATACTGGAACTCCAGTATATTATATTGGAGTTCCAGTATAATATACTGGAGTTCCAGTCTACTTATGCTGGAATTTTAGTATATTATACTGGATTATTTTTCCAGATTTTGAATAGTGTTTTCGTTCAAATTTATCTTTACATGAAAAGTGACTAAATTTCGATTACTTTTGAAACTATGGCTATTTTTGAATGACCACCTGTAAATCTGACTATTTTTGAATTTCTCACTTATTTTTGGGCTTATATAGCCCATCTACCTAACAGAAGCCTTCTACTAGCCCAATGCTATAATTGGCCTTTTTATACAAATAGCCACTACCCTGAAGTCACCTGATCTGAAATTTAAAATCTAAAACTAACTCTTCAGACCATGGATCTAATTTTTAAAAAGCGATCAACTTCCAAATACAAGGCCTCAAAAGTGGTCACCCTGTGCGAATAATTTCCGCGGGAACACTTCCTTGTGCTCGTAGTCTTATTCAAGTGATCTCACAAATTTTCAGGGAAAGAAATTCATCACAAATTTCAAAATCTACTAGTAGCAAATTTGATTTCTACACTTGGAACGAAATTACTGATCTCATTGCTAGTACCATAATTTGATTAGAATATTCATCATGGATGATAATTGAATATTAAAACCAAAAATATCAAAAAAAGAAGAAAATTTTATTATTGTGCATAGACGGCTCAAATGGGCTTCGCACATTTGCTTTAGGAGCGTAAAGTCTTATTCTTGGATTCGTTATGTGAGTTCCAATGCAAACTCGTTGTACAATTGGAACTCAAGAATTACTTGCTATTTTAAGAAAGGTGATGTTGAGGCGGCATGCAAGCTGTTTGATGAAATGCCCCAAAAGAATGTAGTAACTTGGAACTGTATGATATCTGGGTATATCAGAAATGGGATGATTAATCCTGCTCAAAAAGTGTTTGATGCAATGCCTAGCAGAAATGTTGTTTCTTGGACAGCCATGTTAAGCGGGTATGCCAAAAATGGGAATTTAGAGGTGGCACGGCGTATGTTTGATGGAATGGATGATAAGAATGTGGTTTGCTGGAATTCGATGATCTCGGGGTATGTGAGCAATGGGAGAGTAGAGGAAGGTAGAGAATTGTTTGATCTGATGCAGATTAAGAATGATGTGTCATGGGCGATTATAATTGAAGGCTATTTCAGATATGGGGATGTGAGTGAAGCTGAGAGGTTGTTTAGTGAAGCACCAGTGAAAAGTGTGCCACTTTGTAATGCTATGTTAGCAGGTTATGCTGAAATGCGGAGGACTGAGGATGCAGATAAGTTATTTATGAGAATGGATACACATGATGTGGCTTCTTGGACTAGTATGATCACGTGCTTATCAAGAGCGAGGGAGGTGGAGAAAGCTAGAAGTTTATTTGATGATATGCCTGAGAAGGATGTAGTCGCTTGGACTGCCATGATTCAAGGGTACTGTGAAAATAATAACATAGAGGAGGCAGAAAAACTTTTTGCTGCAATGCCTCACAGGGATATTATTGCTTGGAATTCAATGCTAAGTGGTTATCTGCAGAACGGAAGACTGCAAGATGCTCTTCACCTGTTTCATAAGATGCCTTGGCGGAATACAGTATCATGGAATTTGATGTTATGGGGTTATGTTCAGCAAGATGATATAACTAATGCTCGAGAGTTGTTTGAGCAGATGCCTAGAAAAGATGAAACCTCGTGGAACACTATGGTTTCGGGATATCAAAATGAGGAAGCTTTGCTTTTATATGTCCAGATGTTGCGAAATAATTACAAGCCGGATCAGAGCACATTTTCCAATGTGGTCTCATTGTGTGGTGTTCTTGCTTTGCATGCTTGGGGAAGAGCTTTGCATGCCTGTGTAACCAAGAGTGGCTTTCAAAATGACACAATGATAACGAGTGCGTTCATATCCATGTATTCTAGGTGTGGATTTATAAATGATGCTTCCTCGCTTTTCAGAAATATGAAAAGACCCGACACAATAGCATGGAATGCCATGATTGTATCACAAGCATGTCATGGTTCGGCTAAAGAGGCCCTTGATCTTTTTCCTTGTATGATTCAAGCTGGATATGAACCAGACCATGTAACTTTTCTTGGTGTCCTAACTGCATGTGCTCATTCTGGATTAGTGGACATGGGTTGGAGCTACTTTATATCAATGGAGAAAAGGTGGAGTATAATTCCAAAGGCTGAGCACTATAATTGCATGGTTGATCTCCTTGGGAGATCAGGTATGCTAGCTGAAGCCTTCGACCTTGTCAAACAAATTCCTGTAGATCTCCCTGCACGTGCTTGGGAGACATTATTTAGTTGTTGTAGAGTCCACGAAAATTTTGATTTAGGTGATCTTGTAGCGAAGAAACTTCTAAGCCTTCAGCCTTCTAATATTGGAATGTGTGTCCTTTTATCAAATATGTATTCTGCAAGAGGAATGTGGAAAGATGCAGCTCGTGTGAGAGCACTACTTAAAAAGTATGATTTGAAGAAAGAATTGGCATGTAGTTGGATTGAGATAAATGGTTGTATATCTCAGTTTGTTTCAAATGAAAGGTGTAATCCCAGAGCAAAGGACATATACAAAGAACTAAAAAGTCTTTCTGCACTGATTGAGGATAGTGGCACAGTAATGTATCAGGGATGCTATTCAAAATTCAGTTCTTCTGAAGAAATTAATGTTTCTTAACATGTTTTTTCCCTGTATTCCTATCTATAAAAGTTCCTGAGTAGAATTTCTGGTTCCTTCTTGATGAATTCATCTAGTATTGGAACATTACCCAATAGCCTTCAAATCTCATTAAGAGGTTGGTTCTTCAAACATCTCTAAATTGAAGAGCTACGCATGTGAATCTTGTGCACATGCATCAACTTAAAGCTTCTCTTTCTTCGCAGATGTTGCTTGATATCTGTTACAGATGCTAGTCCAGTATGTGATTGTATGAAGACCTGAAACCTTATGCTTGACGAAAGTACTCTCGATGTTAGTCAGAGTTGGGTGCAATTACTGGTGAAAGCTGTGAGTTTTGGAAGGTAAGTTCAAAATTAAGCAGTTTTACATTTTATTTATGAGAGCTAGATGAAAATCTTGAATATAGTTGTGCTTGACAAAAGTGAAAATCGAATTAAGCTCCTGCAGACTATTAGGATAAAATTTTCAAATGCCTTGCATAGCCTCTATATATTCATCAATGAGAAAACAGAAACGTTTATGCAATGCTTTAGAGGAACTTTTAAACTGAATACTAGTAAGTTTTCGCATACAAGGTAGGAGATGTAGGGTAGGATACTTATATATCTTTTGACTTATGAACTTAGTAAATTAAGTATAAATAAATACAACATTAAGAATATGCACATAGCGAATAAAAAATAGACATGGATTTATAAAATCACCAGTCAACTCTGTCCTATAAAATCATAATCTAAAATAAGATAGGTTACAATCTAAATTATAGATAGAGCACTTAACTTGAAATAAAGAATTAAAGTATTATAATTTAAAAACCGTATAGTGGGGATTGAGAATGTACGGGTAAAATATACTGCTTGGGATAGGGGGAGAAAATGTCTATAGTGTAAAATCGGAGAGAGAATTTGATTTTGAAGACAATAGGAGGGACAAAATGATTTTCACTCATAAAATTGCTTTAAAGAACCGAAAAACCTAAGTTTTGTCCAACTTCATGACAATTTTTTCTCTGTCTTTTGTATTAATAAGGTTAAAATTAACGACATTACCATTTCATATTTTATAAACAACCTTCCGCTTTAAACGCTTTTCTTCTTTCCTGTCTGAAATTGTCCTTCCTGTTGTTTCTTTTTTGCATCTCAGGAAAAGCAGGTACCCGAAAAAAGAAAATAGGAAAAAGAGAGATCTTGATTGCATGATCTCCATTAGAGGGGAGGAGGAGGAAGAATCTGGAAGAGAGAAAAATGACGACAATGAAAGAAAAACAAACATACTAGAGTAAGGGAGGGAGAAGGGAAGAGGAAAACAAAGAATAGAAGAAAAGAAATCAACGGAAAGAAAAGAAACAGATCCTCTGTAGGGATATAAAAAGGAAAATATTTGAAGAGGGATAATGGAGGAGAGGGAGGGGGATTTGAGGGTTCCTCTGATCTCTTCCTTGTTCTGTCTTTGTGTACTAACGGGTGGTGTCCTCCTTGTTCTCTACCTTTTCGTGCCAGATCACTCCCAGCCATGGTTTCCAGCTGCAGGATTGATCTTGATTGGTTCTCCGTACATATTTTGGCTCCTGACTTACTTTTACACCAGCATGAAATGGTGCTGTTTTGGCGACAGCAGCATGGACAACCGCCAGATTTCAAGGCGCACCTCAAGGGCTGCCACAATGGCAAACCCTGGGATGGCCAGGACTGATTCCAAGGCAAATGCTGCGGCCTCTAATAACAATAGCATTAACAATGGCAAACAAGAAAGTGGCCATATCCAACAAGATGGAGGAGATGCATCATCCATCAACTCTGCAAAGGAAATTGAGATGCCTTTAGCCTTATCAGTTGCTTCTTCATGAAATGAATACTTTATCAAGAAATGATCTGGTGAGGTGGATTGATAAATGGCTGCATTATGCATGAGCTATCACAGGACCGAGAGATTTGGATTTGCTGAGATAATTTATAATTCAAGGATCATGTCATCATTCAGGAGCTGTTAAGGATGGTGAAGATGCGTGATAATGGTGAATGTAAGTAGAAATAGCACAAACAGATATTTTAACTTGTCTTGATATTTACAAAAATTGAACAAACAAAAAATTGCTCTTCTTGTTTCATAGGTAGTTCTCTCTTATTTCCTATTTAGTCTCATCCCCTCTCTCCTCCCCCAACTTTTCTTAGTTTCTCTTGAAACTTCAAGTTCAACCGATACGGTACTCTCCCTTTTAGTGATTACAGAATATCAATGATAAATTTGGTATAGTATACCTTCTTGTTCTATCTCAGATTCCTTATTTGGTCAGTCTATGTGGTTTATTGGTATGCATAATTAGAATTTGACTTAAGGATTGAGATTTACCAGTATGAAGCATGAAAACATATTGATCATGTTTTAATCGTCATATGATGCTGCCAGAATTTGTTAATGAAAGTATAAAGTAGGTGCAAAACTAAGAGATTATGTAGCCAGGCAGTAGGCAAAGTAGTTGCACAATCTTTTGACTAGTTCCGATTTGACTATAGATGGGAGTCGCACAAGGAAACAATGGAAAGGAACTAACGATATAAGGGGTCGTTTGGTAAAATGGTGGGATATTCTATGAGATTAGTTATCCCACCTTCTAGCTAATTCCACCATTTTAGAGTAAGTTATTATGGAATTAGCTAATACCCCAAACCAAACAAAATTTTATCTCGGAATTATTATTATTATCTCATGTACCAAACGACCCCTAAAGTGTCAACAAGTGAGCCTATGTATTCCTAATGAGAAGTTAAATACAACAAGGATGGCATCAATAGAAAGGGAGAGAGGTTGTTGTTGGGATATATATAAATATTTCAACTTCCATACATTAACCGTGTATGAAATTTTTATACTATACGAGAAGGTCACTTAAAAGATAAATATATCTAAAAATGANATATATATATATATATGTTAAATCCAAATATAAAAAGAGGTTAACACCTTTTGAGATTATGCATCATTAGAACAGATACAAAGACTGGCAATGCTATGTCGGAACTTCGCTCCAACAAGATGGGACATCCAAGAGTATAAATGAGTCAGTAAAAATAGCAGGGGCTAGCCAGTTTTCGAATTGGTCATTCAAAAATAGCCAGCGATTACAAAGTCATTAAAAATAGCCACTATTTTTGCTGCAACAGGGACCGATCCAGTATAATATACTGGAGATCCGTGCACATGTGTATGAACTTCTAGCATATTATGCTAGAACTCTAACACGCAGAAAGTTCCAGCATAATATATTGAAAATTGGAGCACATGTGTATGAACTTCCAGCATATTATACTGGACCGGTATATTATACTGGAACTCCAGTATATTATGCTGGAGTTCCGGTATACTTATGTTGGAACTCCATTATAATATACTAGAGTTCCTATATACTTATGCTGGAACTCCAGTATATTATGCTGGATTATTTTTCAGATTTTGAATTACGTTTTCGTTCAGATTTATCTTTACATGAAAAATGGCTAAGTTTCGATTACTTTTGAAACTGTGATTATTTTTGAATGACCACTTGTAAATCTGGCTATTTTTAAATTTCTCCCCGTGAGTCAAGGTCTCAAAGCCCAGGCTCCATATAGCATTTAGGGGCCGCCAATAGTCGTTCAATGTAACTACCTCGTTCAAAAGCTTACTCTGCTACTATAATGTGCTTTTGTATATTTTGTGGCCTCTTGTCATTCTTTTTCATAGATCGAACACAATTTTTTTTTTTTGATAAAAGGTTAGTTGGGGGTTTGTGTTTCCTGTCATGCTTAGAGGATTTTAAGGAACTTGTGGACACCAATTGTTTCTATGATAGAAAGGTGGACAAGAAAGTTGACACAACTAGGGGAATTGTGACCACACCACAGAACCTGCGCTGTTGATTTGCTTGCAAGTGACACTAGATGCCGGCGATCCAAAATCTAATTGCGATTACTTCAATTTTTAAGATTCTCAATATTAAATAAGATAAAATATAGTAATATTTGTTATATATATATATATACATGATGATGTCCATCTCATTGAAGAAGTATTAGGCATGTGCCTAATAAGAGTTTTCTTTGGTTTGGTAGCCAACCTTGTTGACTTGGTTTGGTTGGTAGCNAAAAATGTCCGGAGTAAAGTACGAGGTAGCAAAATTCAACGGAGATAACGGTTTCTCAACATGGCAAAGAAGGATGAGAGATCTGCTCATCCAACAAGGATTACACAAGGTTCTAGATGTTGATTCCAAAAAGCCTGATACCATGAAAGCTGAGGATTGAGCTGACTTGGATGAAAGAGCTGCTAGTGCAATTAGGTTGCACTTATCAGATGATATGGTAAATAACATCATTGATGAAAACACTGCACGAGGAATTTGGACAAGGTTGGAAAGCCTATACATGTCCAAAACGCTGACAAATA